CAGCCTCTCTGCCCCTCCTCACCTGTCAGGAGGTGCTCTCTCTCCTCCTTGGCATGTAATTCCTCGGGGGTGATTGCCAGGGGTCCTGCCGTCGGGGTGATTCCTTCGTCGTCAGGATGCGGAACCTGGGATATCCCATCCCTGAACCCAGAACATGGTTACGCATGGTTGGGTGCTCACAAACAGGATGGCACTGAAATGACCACATGCTCCCTCCCGCCAGCCCTGAGGACAAGGTCTTCACCCAGTGGATCCCATTACAACCAGCACTGACTGTTGCACTTGTTGAAGGACTCGACCTAAAGAGGCCAAGGACTGATCACTCGTGTATGCCAGGTTAAGAGCAAAGCAACTCCCTGGATGTCAGTGGAGTTAGTCCAGATTTACACTGGAGTTACTCCACATTTACACTGGCATAGCTGGAAGCAGAACCCGGCCCTTTCATTTACAAAGTTGGGAGTGGAGCCCGGTGACTGTACGTTGCAGGAAGTGTCTATAGCCTGGCTAGTCTGTGCTGGCACTGACAGCCGACGCAGTGGGTGACAGGGCCTGACAGCGGAGATGCGGGAGCTCACAAAACGCAATAGGGAAGAACAATTCAGATGTTGCTGCTTAGTGATCTTCTGGAAAGCCCAAACTAGTAGCCCTCTATAAAAAAGGTCACTGCTCAGGATCTGACAAGCCCACAACAAATCCACATTTACTGAGACAACCCACAACCCACCCCACTATCTGATGGCTGAATGCTTGTCCCGTTTAACAGTCCCACTGTTCTGTGTAGGAGGGGCTCTGGGGAGCTTGGCCACCTATCTCAGGGAGGCCAGGATTTGGCCCTGTGTCGCTAACAACCAGACTTACTTTCCCCATGTTCCTGTGTCACCAGAAGCTTCTCCCACCCTTTCTGCTTCCCTCGCAGAGATTCTGCAGCATGGATCCTGGGCTGTTTTGTTCTCTTTGCTCATAGCCACATTGACAAAGCCACCGGAGTCTCCCATCTCCATGCCACTGGGGTCTAGCGTAGGAGATCTGCTGCGGCTGGAAGGAATGTCCCCAAGACTGATATCCTTCAGCTCTCCAAGGATCTCTTCCACCTGGTTGCCTGTTGCATCTCCACAGGGCTCACGGGTTGGGTGGTCGCCGGTCAGCTCTTTGCCTGCCGTCAGGCAGTTCTCAGAATCAGCCACGTCAGGCACCAGGAAGCTGTTTTCTTCTAGGTCCGTGGTGTCCCCTCTCTCCTGTGCATCTGCTCTGATTTCTGGGCCTTCCTGCACGCTCTGCCTGAGCCCAAAGAGATTCCTAACAAGCTGGAGCACTGAGGGCCTGTTGGAAACAAGGGGAATGGTCAGAGGATTCATCTCTCTCAGCCTTAGCAAGAGGGGATCTTGGGTTGAGGGATTCAAACTGAAATCTGCCCAGGAGTTCTGGAGGGGAGGTGGAAGAACAATCAAGTTGAGCTGCTGTGTGAGAATGGAGCAGAAAAGCGGGGTGGGGGTGGGGGTGGAG